CCCCCCCCCCCAAATGAAATATATAACAAGGAGCATAAAATATAAAAATCGATTTTGTTTCAAGGAGGGGACTAAGTCTCATAAGATTCTTTATAGTTAAAAAGGTGTAAATTACAGTTTTGGCAAAGATTATACACATAATTTTTCAAATCCAATGAATTACTGCATTAAACAGTTTTGACATAATAAATGTCTAAGTATATTCTACTTAAATTAAAATATTAGAAAGAAGGAATATTTTATAATATTTCAATTTTAAATTAAATTTTTATTTTTTAAAGGAGTTTCTATCAACATCTAATTAATAGATTTAAATAAACAAAAATAAATAAATTATTACCAAATTATTTGATTTGAAAATAGTTCTCCATAATTTTGACTTGACAAATATGGTTCAGTTGGTTCAGATGAATAAAGCTGTAAAGCTTTACGAATACGTTCTCTTAATACATAAAGAGCTGGATTTGCTTTCATAATTTTTGCCATGGCTTGTTGAATTAATGGTTTACAACCGGGGAACCAATTTCCATATGCACTATAATATTAATAAGTAAATTATTTGATTATTACTAAAATTTTACTTATTCAATATTTTTTAAATAATTAAAAAAATATTTATTATTTCTAAAAAATAAAAATATTGAACACACAAAATTTTACTAAATTTAAATTTACAAGTTTATTTAAAAATAATCAAAATAAACATTATAATAACTTTTATGTCATATTAAGAGCTATTGTAGTATACCCAAAAATGAGGTTTCTTAATCTTTAACACTCTAGGATGGATAGTTAATTTGTTACCAATGTAAAGGATAACAACTCTAATTACTAAATATATCTCTAATTCAGCAAATGGAGCCATTCATGACAGTGTGTATCAGGTGATACTAATTTGTTATGAACTCATTAACACCATTCCTCTTACAAAAAGAAATAATACATGAGAATATTACCTATGTAAATTATATGCCAAGTCAATTGAAATTAGAACACCAGTGGGCGAAGGATAAATTGACATATTATCAGTTGTATAATCTAAAAATTTTGCCCGAGCATATCGTTCAACATCATGTGAATCATAATCACCCCAGCGTAGTTGAACATCTAGCCAATATTTTTGTGTTGTTGTATTATCCATTGTGTCTCTAAATAATTTCAATATCATAAAATACATTAAAAACAAATAAAAACATATTTAACCAAAATTTATAACTCCAGACTTAATTTGATTAATTGATTAAATTAAAATAGCTCATTGCATTAACTTAAGTGAAAAGATTTTTTAAAAACTCCAGTCTGCTGATAGAACATAAAGGGTAAAATTGGGTTAATATGAACATAGGGGGAAAATTTATTACTCATTGTGAAATATTTAGCAATAGTTAAGATTGAAGAATTCTATTACTTAAGAATGTAATGACTTTATAAGTAAATCTACTTGATTACCCTACCCTATTTATCCTACTTTGCCCTACATTAAAAAATAATGAATAAGCTAGAATCAGAACTCATAAATGACTACTACTAAATTTGATAAAAATATGAAAAACACTGAATTAATTACTTAGAATCGGCCAACAATGATGGTCTAGAGACATTCCATTTATAAGCTGCAAATAATAAAATATCAGCACAAGATGAGTTCATTTTATAAGATTTACGAGGATGAATAGTTTCTTTTTGAACAGTTTCTATTTCCAGTGCATCCAATTCTTGATCAAATACCTAAATATTAATTGAAAATATAAATATAAAAATTTAATTTAATGAATAATGATTACTAACTTGACAAAGATCCATAACAATAGATTCATGAACTTTTTGCCATAAATGAGCTCTAAAAATTTGGATCAAAGAAATTTTTAATGTAGGTATTTTGCCATGCATAAATATTCCTGTTAAATCTAGCTGCACTTGAAAACCAACATAAACATTCGCACGGTTAATAGTAGGAGACCACCACAAAGTAAATCGACGATTAGGAATTTGATTAAGACCAGAACGTTGAGCATTAGTAAGTTTTTTATACTTCATAGATTCTTCAAATCCAGATGCTTTTTCCCTAAAATATGTAAAAAGTAATAAGCAAATTTAAACAGATAAAATTATTCACAAAAAAAAAAATAATAGTTTCATTTTTAATTATTGTAAGATGAAATAAATATTACTATTTATATATTTATATACAGAGTGATCCGTTTATTATAAAAAATATCAAAAATTTTGAAATTTTTTTTGATACTTTTAGTTAAATATAATTCTCAAATTATTAGCTATATAATGTTTTAAGTTCATCCTTTATGCTCGCAAGTGTGTCAACTTTATTTCTTTTTTAATCAAAACATTTTGTTTTTATTTTTTTTTTTTAATTAATAACAATGTATTATTTTTTTATTTTATAGTTTTGGAATTTATGATCTAATTTAATTCGTTTATCAGTTATTAAATGAGTTAATTTTAGCTTCGATGCGAAGCTGAGAAGGTATTAATTTTACTATGATGTGTTTTTTCTTATGTCTGTTGCCACTTTTTTTCAGCTCTCACTGGACCGATTTCTTTCAATAGTACGTCAAAAGATCACAAATCGTATCTAGTTGAAGACATTACCCTTAAAAATTGAAAAATTTTCCCTCGTTCCCCGCAAATGAGGAAAATATCCAAAAAAATTACAAATTTAAAAATCAATAAATTTTGTCATTTTTTCACTTTTTTTCTTAAAACTTCCATAACTTTTTCAAAAATAAACAAATCAACATAATAAAAACAATATGTAGTCCAAACACATATTGTCTTGCTAAGTAGGTTGACGACGTTCATTTTTATTATTTTCAGAAAAAGATAAATGAAAGTTACAAAATTTATCTGTTGTGGTCAAATTTTTTTATTATTTTTTAAAATTATTTTTGCAATCTTTCAATATGTATTTTTACTTGAAAATTCGTAACTTAAGTGTTATATTTAACAAACAAATTAAATTAAAGATTTTATTAAATTCAAAATATGTTCCCATTTGAAAAAATAAAATTAACACCCATATGAGGCATAAAGGATGAACTTAAAAAGTTTTATATAGCCAATAATTTGAGATTAATATAATACTAAAAGTATGTAAAAAGTTATGCTTGTAGTAGAGAATAGATAAATCTACAAAGCTCAGAACAAAGAAATTAAAACCCCAATACTTTCATATAAAGACATGATGCCTTTAAAACTAAGTTAAGTAGCATGAGTATTGTATATAACAGTAATATAAAATATGACATAACTAACCAAAATAGACCTTCCCAAGTTGGGAAATAAGTTCCTTTGAATAATGTATGCTCCAATATACCTTCAACACCTCCTAAAGCTTGGATCATGTCTGTTCGATAATTATTTAAATTCCATAATTTACCATCATGTCTTTGATGAGTCCACCAAAATGGATTTTGCTTAAGTACCTAAATTAAAATAAATAAATTAAAAGATAATAAATTAAATAATTCAACTTGAAAATTATTTATATATTTCTAATACTGAATTATATTTAATCACTTTAAAATATAAGAATTGATTTCTACCAGCAAATAAATTTAGTTTAGCATTTTAAATTCAAGTATTTACAACAGTAAATGATTAGTTAGTAGCCTAATTGCCAAAATATTATCAAATATTGTAAAATATTTACAATCACTTGTAAACTTAGTTTATGGCTTGAACATTTTAATCTTTAAAACTAACAGCTGACCATTCCTAAAATTAACTTAATGTTTAGCTAATGTTGGGTAGTTAAGTTTGATAACAACTGTTATTAGATAATACCATGGTAGTAAATATTAAATACTGACATGTTGAATTAAAATACTTGCTAGCCTTATGTTAATAAATAAGAATATTACCTCTAACACAAGGCTATTAATATTACAAATTAACTAGTGGCTTTTTCTAAAGTAGAGCATTAATTTTATATCTGCTAAAATAATAATATATCTTAATAATTTATAGTATATATATATATATTTAACTAAATATAGATTATTTATATAAATTATGTATGCACTTTTTGATATAAAATATTACCTGATATTGTTTAAACTCAGTTCGAATCCTCCAACCTTTGTCATATGCTAGAGTGTGTCTGTCTTTCTGGAATAAAGTATTTATTCTAGGAATACCTCTATCCCAACTATCTTCTAAATCTTCCAAAGTTAAACGTCTAAAATTAATTTATAATTAAATCAATACAACAAACAACAATATAATTTGAGGTGTTGACACTAATTAATTTTTTATAACACGAATTTAGAAAGTTAAGAAAACATTTTACTTTTCATTATTTACACTACTTATATTAATTAAAAATTCATCAATTTTTTTTTAAATTTTTAAAAATTTTACAATTAAAAACAGATTCATAAATTAATTAAAAGTTCTAAAATTTGGAAGTTTTTTTTTTTTTTTTTAATTTTCCTAAACGAAGCACTTTAAAAAATATATACATTTAAAAACATTTATTTTGCATGGTAAAATTATATATTAATAAATTCTTTGTTTCCTGCTTTCGTGTAAATATGATAACAGAAAACAAAGGATTATAAGACTTTAGGAAGCTCACATAAAATCTTTTCTATATTAGAATTGATAAAAACAATCAAATGTGTGTAGGAAGGTCTACATTCAAGGGGCACAAAATGTGTAGCGCTACAAAAAAGGTTGAACTGTTCACATAAAAAATCTTTAGCAAAAAAATAAAACCTTAAAAATCCATTTTACCCATATCACTATTGGGCTACTACTATGAACTTTCCTGATTACACTATTGACAAATCTCTGATAAGTGCAGGGATCATATAATGATCCTTTTTGCACTTCTTGCTAATCAACAAGTTTTATAAATACACAACATATTTTTGCATATACCTGTTTTGAGCATTAGCCTCTTGTCTTTTTAAAGCATATTCGGCCCAAACTCTTTGTGAATCAATAAATTCAGATTCCCAAGGTTGAATATAACGGTATAAATTAGGTATTAGTTGATCTTCATCATGACTCATACCTGAACGGAAATGAGTGATTCCAACATCAGTTTGTTTAGACCATCTTAAATCAGACTTAAGAAAAAAAACACAATGTAATTTTTACACAAATACAAGAAATATAGTTTCAAAATATAATAATTACTTGTGGAATCAAAACATGACCCATAGATAACATTCCTAAACCGCCAAGTTCCTTAGGTGTATAAAATACAACAGGAGGGAATCTTGAAGGCATTTTGGAATTAAGACCTATCTTTATACGAGTTTGAATTTTGTTCTCACATTTTACTAAAAGGTCTAATAATTCTTGAGTATTCACAACAGCTTCACGGAAATAAGTCATTAATCCTATAAGAGCTGTATTCCATTTATTAACAATCTATAAAAAATAATTGAATAACACTAATTTGTTTTTAAAAATCTGACCATGAAAATTTATATAATATAAGTAATTAATATTTTAAATAGCTAAATATACTTTAGTAAAAGTAGTTGATCCACTGGCCATTAAAATTTGTCTAACACGATTATGAAATCTTTGTAATGATTCATCATCTACTCGTAAGAATGATTGGGCTGTCCTTTCTTTTGTTATTTCATTTTGTAAATTCCAAATACCATCTCTATGAGTAAGTTCATCATGAATTGTACGACACTATTGAAAACGTAAAAAAATAATTGGATGGATAAATCTAATAGTTGAAGTTTCTTTTTCGTGTTCTCACTTACTTTAGGTAATATACGACATTCAAATCCACTCATATTAAACAACAAATTAGGATTATCCTTTGAATATACACTTACAAAACTGTTTTCCCATTGTATTGTAGTTGTAGAACGTGGTAATCTATTTTTGATATCCCAAAAAACAGCTCTTCCTCTAAATATTAAAAAGATAAAAGTTTCAATTCAACCTCTTTATTCTTTAACTTACAAATTAACATCATGTTTCATTAAACGCATTCTAGCATCACGAGGCCAACATTTTTTATTATTGTAACCTACAATATTTTCATTATTAGGATCTGGATGTTCAGTCAAATATCTTTGAATTAAATCTTTTGCTTCTTCAGCAGTAAATCTTAAAAAAATTAAATATTTAATTTGAAAAAAAAAAAAAATAACTTCTATATTAAAGTCAAAAAGTTAAAATAAATTTGGAATACCTCAAGAAAATATGTACTCTATCAGTATATCGACAATACAAGCGAACAGGATGAGCTACTTCAGTTTGAACATCTTGAAATGTTAAGAAGTCATTTGGCATTTGTGGAGGTCCAGCCATTTCAGAAGCTCTTTGTAATCCCAATACCAGCAAATCCAAAACGAGCCCATAATATTGAACAATAAAAGATGAAAATTGTAAACCTCTAACAATACCATAACTATTTGTATGATTCATATCCTAGAAAAAAAATTATTTCAATTATGAATTGCAAAATAAATAGAAATATAGATATAAATTTACTTTTTATTAAGATAATAAAAAATTAAAAAAGCTTATACCTTGTAATTAATAATAACATTGCTTTTAGCCGTCATATAATCAGCAATATTATGATCAACGATTAGTCTGAGTAACCTATTAAGTAAGGTCAAGTCAATTTTTTCATAAATTTTTTCAAATTTCGATTCCAGTAAAACATTACATTCCCCTTCACTTACATCCCAAACATCTTGTAAATTGTTTACACCTAATACACAAAAATTTTAGTTCATTTTATCCATTAAAATAATATTAAAAATAAAGAAAATTATACTGAAAAAATTAATTAAAATGTGAATTTCTAATAAATTAACATACGTACAGAAAATTTGTTTTCATGTTAATAATTTACATACTAGAATATACTTAGTGATATTTAATAAAGCAAAAGTAATTTTTGGCTTTTCTTTAGTAATTAATAAAGGCAACTTAAAAAAACTTTTACAAAAAAAAAAAAAATAATAATAATACATTTTTAATTTTTGAACAAATAACAATTTCAATTTTTGAATAGATGGTCTAAATATTTATATTAGTAATGAGTTATACTTTGTTATTATAATACAATTTTAAATTATAATCAGAATATTGGTTACCACTTATTAAATTTGTTAATTAAAAGAAAAATACATTTATGTAAATAAATCATATTATGATAAGAGATTGTTATCGAATGAAGTTGAGTGGCAGTATCCACCGAAGATATTAACACTTTTTGACATTATCAAACATGGGTTCTCATTTGTACTTACAGTTATGAAAAATTTGACTTGCCATAAGGTTTTAAACCAGGTAGTCAATCTATGACTAGGTCTGCACCAGCACTCTGTTCTTGCTGGTTTTTGATAGCTACAATCATAAGTAGTACAAGGAGTACCTTGGATTTGTGCTGGAGCTACCCTTTGTAAAATGTCAAAAAGAGTGTTGTTTTATAAACAAAACTCCATAATGAGGAGTTAGTTCAATTCATTTTTAATAATTAAATGTATATATGACAGTACATAATATCCAAGATTTAATTTTTTTGAAAAAGTTAGACAAAATGTCCATTTTTGAAAAAAGTTAACATTTTGAATTCTTCCTTGTGGACAGGTAAAGAATCAGATTTTTTTAAAAAATATATACCAAATTGACAGGCAAATACCTAAGAAATCTAAAAAAACTATTTTGAATCTTTCTCTTTTCAAAAAGTCATGACTGCTTTAAAAAGAAAAAATTTTAAAATGTCTAAATTTACTAATTTTATTAATAATTGTAATTTTTTGGGGATTTCTACATTTACAGGGAACGGGGAAAATTTTTCAATTTTTAAGGCCGTCTTCAACTAGATATAATTTGTGATCTTTTGATGTATCATTGAAAGAAATTGGTCCGGTGAGAGTTGAGAATTAGTAGTAACAGACACACACATACACACAAAAAAATAAATACATCATAGTAAAATTAACACCTTGTCAGCTTTATATCGAAGCTAAAATTTATTAGTTTAATTTATTAAAATAAATTGTTAATTTAGATGTAGACATTTTGAATTACAAAAATAAACGAATTACCTTGACACCATTTGTAAACAAGCAGAGGTGGAGGTTCAGTATCTGATGGTTTGATCCATGGTGGAAATAAACGCCGTTTATCTGCTTCATACCATAAATATTGATCTAAATAAGCATCTGTAATTTTTTCTAACGGTTCTACATCATAAACAGGCACTAGATGAGAGTATAAGTCCATGAACTCTATGCCTACCTAGATTATTAAAATAAATATGTATTTAAAATTCTTAAGAAAAAATTACAAAATGATAAAAAAATAAAAGTTAAAAAAATTTTGTTTTATACAAAAAGATAATATTTATACCCATTATTATTTTGGGGGGTGACAAAACTTACCACTGGAATATAAAAATTAAGAAATCTCCTCATTACGGTAGATTACAGTGGCCTTTGATAGGCCCTACAAGTGAAAATAATAATTACATTTTAATACATTACAAAAACAATAAAATAAAAAAAATTAATTAGATATTTTTATATAATTAAATAAAGTAAAAAAGCTTGTTATTTTATAGATATACATATATAAATAAGCCAAAAAATTTAACTCAATAAAGTTTAATTGATGGTTATTTTAGATATACAAATGTATATTCATAATTAGATGAATATTTTTGAAGTTAATTATCTAATCAAATTTATTAACACATTTAAATTTGTTTGTTCAGATTAATTTTTTCCAAATAAAATTTATAATAATAGATCACAGACCACATTATTAATAAATTTTAAAAGTCTGTATTCATTTTTAAAGAATCAGACCCCTGTGCAATCATCATAATAAAATTTTTTTAAAAATCTCAGTCACGCGTGTAATCCTATTATTGTTAAAAATGATCATCACAGATGAAAATTTACAAGCCAATAATAGTTGGGCATCATTCTGCATCCAATATCAGAGCCCCTACGCATTTCATCACAGTAATTAAAGCTTATTAATTGAAAAACTAAAACAAATAACATATCTAAATGCAATTTATAGAAGTTAATCCCTCTCTCCAGTGAAACTTCCAAGACGATATCATCATGAGATAATCTATTGGTCAGTCCCTCCCACCTATAATAATACATCCAGAAGTAGCTTGAGAGAGGGAGTAACACATAATACTGTTGTCCTTAGCTGTACATTATATTATTAACCTGAATAAAAGTTTATTGACATATAAAACATAAGTGCATGAGAGTCTAGTGGGAAGAAAGTTTGTCTTTATGGGTCACAGTACCTAATCTTATAAGATGCCTCTTTTTTCATATTATTTTCGATAAACTTTTGATGACTGGTTGTCAATTACTGAAGAATGTCTCTCACATACATGTACTTATTCAATATATTCTAACAAATATAATAATCTATAGCAATAAAACTCATAAAAACAAAATACTATTAAATAAATGAAACACAAAATAAAATTTGGAAAATTGTAGTAAAATTTTACTTTAACAATTTTATTTTTACTAATGTTTTTTTGAGTTGTTTTATTTATAAAGTTAATTTAATAAAAAACAATTTTATTTGACTTTATTGCTAACATAGATTAATAAACTTGATAAATGATATAATTTAAACAATTATTTGTGAACAAAAACAATTTTATTATTTCACTATACTTTTAAGATGTTAGAGACATTTTTGTCAGTTCTAGTTAAGCTATTCAATAATAACAAAACACAATGCATTATGTATTAATTTCAAAAGAATATTAAATATATTGACTTACTTCTTTAAATGTCCTTTGAGTTAAAAGATGACGTTTTATTCTAGATAATGCTTCATGAGGATTATCATATGCTTGTTCTATTAATCCAAGTTCTTCTCTTTGGCTCTGATTTAAACGAGATTTAACACTAAAATAATATTAATAAAAATGAATGTATATTTTCAACTAAATAAAAAAACAGAAAATACCTGTAAGCTTCTTTTAAACGTTCTAAAGCTAAAATTAATAATTTGGTATCATGCTTGTATGAAAGTGGTGGGAAAGGTATAGGAGCAAAACGTCTAGATTCCAACCAATGAACAGTTGTTGTATAAATAGCAACAGCTTCTTCAGGAGAAATATATGGTCCATCCTATTTATTCAACATTTAATTATTATTTCATTAAGAATTATTCCTATTTTAATAATAAACTTCACTTTAAGATAGTTATGTTGACGTTCTTGTTCTGCTTTGAGATATAATCTTGTTAAGCGCCCTAAATTTTTTTTACAAACAGTTTTATCTACAGTAGCACCTCTACGAATACGTTCTCTATTATAATGAGCAGTATTAGTCCACCAATCAGCTTTCATTTTTACATATCGAAGAATCATGTTTTCAATAGGAGTAGGTAATCCAGGAACCTTATAAAACACAAGTTATTTTTAACAACTCTTTGTAATAGTAGTTAAAATATCATACTTTCCATGGAATATTTGCTTTCCAGCATCTCCACGCTTCAGATAAATGTTGTAAAATTGTTCGAGCTTTATTCTGTTTGATACCTTCAGGCATCATATCAACTATGTCATGCATAACCTAAAATATGATACAAAAGTTTATATTTAAAAAATTATTTTTTTAAATAGTTTATATGTAACAAAATACTTACTGAAGCACGAAGTTCTAGATCAAAATGACTTTCAACTCTTTGTTTTGTAACAGTTTTTGCGACACCTTTAGAATGTCTTCCTTCAAACTGTCTAGATAATAAATTACCTAACCAACGTTCTAGTAATGGTGTTATACCTCGCATAAAAAATAACCACACTCGCCATCCAGGAGCCCAAAATCCACAACCTGGGCCTTTGCCCACAGGTCCCTTATGAATAAATTTTAACAGTATTGAATTAAATTAACATAAAAATAATGAATATAACTTACAGTATTAAAACGATAGTAAATTAGATGTTTAAGATCTTTACACATTCGTATTTGTCTCATAAGCTTATACTTATAGCGATACATTCCTGTTAATTGTCCAACATGTGCAAAAACATACTGCAAACCATCAGCTAATTGAAAAGCATCAATATTGTTCAATCTGTATTGCACATGTGAATCAATAATTAATTTAGTCAATCGTAAAATTTCTCGACACAAATGAAACGCTGTTGGCAAAATAAAAAAAAAGATTAAAGAGTAGTTTAAATTTTTATTAAATCAAGATATTACAAAAAAATATTCTGAATTGTTAAAAATATTTATATACATATTCTATAAAAGGTCATTGTTTTTTAATTGTTAACAATCATTTGATAATAATATTATTTCACTAAAATATATTAGGACTGCCATTGCAATGCCACATATTTAACACCTTTTTTAAAAATGATATTTTATTATCATGAAATATAAAATTAATTTTTTCTGTATGTTTAGTTATGTGGCATTTTTAGTTTGAAAAGTGTTTCTTTTTAAATTTATATCTTTTATAATAATGTTTAGTTCATAATCATACGTTATTATCAGGGATAGGACAATTTTTCAAAAATACATTTATTTTTACTTTGGCAAGATCTCAAGAAGATAATTATTTTATAAATGAGTAACGTGAAAAAAAACAACAGAAAATTAATTTACTTATGTAATATTTCACCAATTATTTTCTTGTTTATTAGTGAATTTACAAAAATACCCTTGGATTCAAGTATGTGTTAAGGTACATTTAATAATGCAAGTATCTTGATTCTTGATCATACAATTGCCTATGATTGGTATTTATTAACATAGTGTGTTATTGTAATTTAGTATTGCTTTTCTTATATTATATTAAGTTACATACATTTTAATACATAGAAAGGGTTTGTAACACAGATGCCCATCCAAGCTACAAGCTGTACCCCTCACAATTTGTACTGGTGTATATTTATAATGCATACACAATTTTTTTTGAAAAAAAGGCTTAAAAATTGATTATTTTAAATTTCATGATTTTAAATTAAAAAAAATTATTATTTAATTTATTATTAAAAAATGAATAATAAAATATTAGTTTCAAACCTATTCATGAAGAGTTCTGTTAAAAATGATAATAATAAATTTCTCTTTGTTGTAACCTCAATTAGCTCATAAAATTTATTTTGAAATTGTAAAAAACTTTGTTAAATTTATTTTATTCTGTTATATGTTTTGTTACCCTAGCTAAGAAAACCAATTGCTATATTTATCAAGAAACTCGAAAAATTATTTTTAGTTAAATATTTTTCATATACTTTAGTTTTGAATTAATATTTTAAATAATATTAACCACAATGATAAATTGTTATTATTAAATTAAAGTAAGACAATTTTTTTTTATAAAAAAGGGCATTAAAACGAAATAAACTTTGTAAGAAACATAATACAATTCCTGGTTCTCATTTG